ATGAAATCTTGTTACATCTAGGGACTCCACTTACTGATGTCTGCCAACTCTGATCGTATTGGTTTTCCTATCACACATCTCCCTGGAAAGCCTACAATTGCCCCAACTGTGCTATCAGAAATCTGGTGCCAACTATAGACCTGAACATTCGTGCTTAATGTTTTATTTATTGGCTTCTGGGAACACGGTTTTAGAAAAGGGAAAGGCGTCTGACACTTCTGATCATGGGAAGGAAATGTTCTGGGATGAAGCAGAAAAAGTTTCAGGAACAGAATAATTTTGTCACCCGTGGCACAAAGCAAGGCACCTTTCAGGGCCCGCCCTTGAAGCTGGCTGCCCTTTCACGGAGGTTGTAAACAGCTCACACCTTCAGATCTGCACTCTGCTTATCAAGGGTGTGAGGGCGCTTGGAGTCACGGGGAAGCAAAATTCAAACACTGGCTCGAAAGGTCATGATACTAGGCAGCCCTTTCATTTAATCAGAAAAATACAGCTCACAATCAATTATTGTGAGCAAGACACAATAATCCTGATTATTTATCAGCCTGTCACTTTGCCGGCCATGTCCTTCCACAAAAGGAAATGACAGCCCAACTTGAGACTTTCAACTAGCAGCCTGCTATTCTTTTACTTTACTTTGGAGGTCATCCGGCTCTGGGAGTGGCAGGGTGATTATCATTTACTTTGACATTCAGGAGAATATTGTGATGGGGAGAAGACAGAAATGTACTGTGTGGAGGACCCACACATATGTCTATCACATAATTATCATTTCTCTGCTATCAGGAAGCACACAGGCGCAAGATAAGCACAGTGGAGAAGCCTTTGGGCTGATGGACATGAATCTGGACTTCTTCTTAGAGTTTGGGATGTGGGCTTGGGCCCAGGGTGAGGCACAGGTACCTCCCAGAGGCACTGGGAAAGCTGTCCTGGTGCTCACCTGCTGAATGTCAGTCTTGGGCTTGGAACTGGTATAAGACTGCTGAATCCAATTCCAACAAAGGCCTCTAAGAGGCAAAAAAGAGCTCAGAGATGGCAGGGAAACAGGCCTGGTTGTGAAAAATGTCCAGACAACATTGTCCTCTCTCTCAGCAGCAAGTAATTCATGGTTTCTGGTCAGTGTGAAGTAAGGCAAAGCTGCAGTGAATTGCAAGAATTCAACTCTCTTCAAAGAACATGGACAGAGGAGGTAGAGTGCATATCAGACATCAAGCTTCCAAAGATGAAAAAGATGAACAAAACATAACCTGTCCCTCCAAGAGCTCCAATTTAGGACCATGTGCCTCACCCTATAACGCTGTTCTTAAAATGAAGAGGTTCCATCAACAGAGTAGTGTGGGAAATTCTGCATGTTTACTTGACATCAACAAAGGTATGTGGAAAATGCAGCAGGTTTACTCTCTCCTGGAGAAATGCAACAGGCACTTGCTCAGGAAGATGTTAACAAGTCCTCCAGGACAGAAGTCTGCTGCCCTGTAGTTATGCATGATTTCCCAAATTTGTTTCTGTGCTGAGCCCATAGAACCAGAGTTCCTTGGATACAATTTAGGAAATGATGGTTTAGGGGGTTTATCCAGCCATTGCAGAACCTGGAAATATGAAACTTGTGATCCAGCCCCTAAGAGGGCTGGCAAGAACAGGGTGTTGGACCCACCAGATGGACTGGGATTCAGGAGAGAGCTTGGATCCTAGAGAGAAAGACAAGAGTACCATATGGAGAATCAGTGTAGACTACAGAATGTGTGTGAGTGCGTGTGTGTGCCGGTGCGTTAGTATAGAGTTGTGATCTCCACAGCATTAACCCCAATTTATAAACTAGACCATGGCAAGGGGGAAGGGAGAGGGTGAGACAGAGCAGCTCAGAGGTGATGGGTGTGGGAACCTGCCCCTCTGCAGCAGGCACCTGCTTCAACAGGAAGGCGCCTTCACTCTGAGTTCCTTTGTCTGTGGCTGCTGCCTGCACCAGCATGATGAGAACCCAGGGCAGCTTCGATAGTAAAAGGCACCTCCTAGAACACTCAAGTAGAGGCACTGTACCAAGTTCTTGAATATACTATCCCATTAAATCCATACAATGGCCAAAGAGAAGTGTCACTAATACCCAGACAGGGAGATAAAGGCTCAGGAAGGGCTGCGGAACTTGACCAAGTTCACATAGTGAAGACTTGCACCTAGATGTTACCCCACTGTGTTTTCTTCAATGCTGCAAGCCTATTTATGTAATGTAGGCACCATTTGGTCCCCACAGGCGTAGGCCTCAGAAGCAAATCCTTTAAGTATTCGCATCTGCACTAAGACAAAGGCAGGGCTTAAGACCAAGTTCACTTGCTCTCTAGCAATTCATTAAAATAAAAGGCATTTTCTGGGTAACCTTGGGAATATTCCAGGATAAGCTTTTATTGTATCATGTTGTCAAATTTGTAAAAGTAACAACCCAGACATTATCAATGAATTTCCTGCTGAAAACTGAAAATTCATAAACCTGGGAGATCTTTTCTTTTGCTTCCTCTAATCATTTTAACACAAGCCATGACAGCTGCAAGCCATGATGAGTTTGTGCTTATATTTTCTTTTGCTTGTTTATCTATGGCTTCAATTAAAGGCAGATTAATAGGATACAGATTCTATCAGTCCAGCACTCACTGGACATTGCCAAAGCGCAACGCACTGGGTCATGCATGCTGAACAGAAGAAGGTTCCTGTGGCCTGGTGTCCAGTCCTCCTTCCATGCCTTTGGCCATGCAGAGCTCACTTAACACGGCCCTGGGTGAGACTGCAGGCCTGAAAGTGGCCACTGATTTCTGACAGAGATCCTCAAATAAGACTATTTCCCTGGACCAGGAAGTGTCAACCTCCACACTAATGCTGATGGACTGGGAGGGGCTGCCTAGACCATTCAGCTGAGAAAAAAACCTTGACTCCATAGTGTGCCTCAATGGAAAATCAAGTGCCAAATTGTGTGCTGACATCACCCAAAGACAGGGAGCAAGGCAAGGGGGCTGTGCATGCCAAGAATCATGCATTGGACCCTGAGATTTGCCTTGAGACAATTTCACAAAGAAACAAAGAATGGCAAAGAAACAAGGTAGAATAGAAAAGCTGAATCTGGCTTAACAAGCATGGGAGGGATTAACTGAGGCTGATTAACAAATCCATCCAAAGCTCAGGTGGTCATATCCCCTGGTTTGCGTGATCAATCAGACCTAATGGCTGATAATCTGATTCCGATTGTGGGAAAAAAATACACTGGCTTTGATGGTTTGAGAAGCACTGTTACGTAAGACAAAGGAATAGAGATGGTGGCTGAGCTAGATGAATTCTGGCTTTCCTTTAAGGGTCCGTATTTACCTGTAAATGTATATTCCTGCTGTGATCTGTAGGTCTACTGCTTTTACCTCTTACCAGTTGGTTTGAATTTTGTGGGTCCAGAAGAGGTCAGAATCTGAAGGTGGGACCCTATACTCATAAAAGAGTAAACTGCAATGAAAAATTGTGGCTGGGCAGGTCACCTTGAGCCAAATATGATGGCTCACCGTTGTCAAGATCAGCCCACAAATGTGCCTGATTCTGTTCTAGACCATCCTTCTATTGATATTGATAACGATAATCCTTCTCAATTAAATTTTAACCACAAAAGCAACACATTCTCCTTGTAAAAATGATCAAACCTTATAGACTGAGCCAATGCCTTCCCTTGTCAGTATTCTTAATCTCTCTCTGCTCTCCTTACCCTGATTTAACCGCCATAATAAAGTACGAAGTTCACCATTTTAGACCCTCTTCTATTCATTTACAGACATCAACTGTACCTGCAAAATATATGCGCCAATTATTATGGAATTTTCTGTGTGCAAGCAGGTTTGCAAAAATGATATACTATGGATAACGTCTTCAATCTGATATTTTTCACATAATGCACTATCTTAGAGAGCCCTCCATATTAGAACACCTTAAATTTACAACCTTTTTTAAACCACTGCAAAATATCTCATAATGGGGGGCTACCACCATTTTAGCAATTCCTCAATTGCTGGACAGTTAGGTCATTTCCAAAAGTTTCACCACAATGGACAACCCTGCCACGAACACCCTTGCAGAGACCCTTGTTGGCACATATAGGTGTTTCTCTCGAGGGTGGGTGCCAAAGGCATGAAAGCATTCTTTTCACCAATTGCTGCTCATTTGTCCTGAAAAGTGACTAATACCAATTCCCCTTCATATGTCTGTGTGTGAGCAAGACCCAGGGTCCGACACCCTCCTCAACCCTTGACATAATCAAATAGTCCACGTCACCCTCATCTTTGTAACATCTCTGAATCTAAAGGACCAAGGACAAGGTGGCTGCCACAGAGAAGGTTCAAATCACATTTGCTGGGATCCCCTCTAACTGGTGGTCTTTCCCATTTGAGGCCCCCTCCTTCAGCTTGCTTGCAGCTACTCCCCCTCAGGTGCCTGCCTCAGGACCTTTGTGGAGGCCCAGGATACGGCAGGTGTTCCCCTCTGTATTCACAAAACCCTCTCAATGCACTTGATAGGCTGCCTTATTTTTATATGCTGTCTCTCTCGCTAATCCCTGACCTGCTACCCCAGAGAAGGTGCCTTTTTGCACCTATATTTCCCCATCACCTGGCCTAGGGCACCACACATAATAGACTTTTGATAGGAGCTTTTAAAATGAAAGCCATTGTCAGGCAGTCATATCGAAATGGAGTGAAAGCCCGCAAAAATAAACAGCATATCAGCAGAAGGAAAAATTGAGCTGTCAATCTGCTGAACAGCAAAGATTTCTTTTCTTTATTTCAAGTCTTTCCATGTGATGGGGCAGGGAGGGATGTGGGAAGAAAAGCAAAAACATAACAGAGCTCTGGAAACCATCTCCTTTTTTTAATTTGGAAAGTGATTGGCACATCACTCCATCGCCATCGCCCAGGCAGTGGGGAGGACTCTGCACATTGCTGTCCCTGAGTGACCATCTCCTGCCCTTCTGTCCTGCCCCTTAGGGACCACGGTGATGCGGGTGACAGCCTTCGATGCAGATGACCCGGCCACGGACAATGCCCTCCTGCGGTACAACATCCGTCAGCAGACGCCTGACAAGCCGTCTCCCAACATGTTCTACATAGATCCAGAGAAAGGCGACATTGTCACTGTCGTGTCACCTGCGCTGCTGGACCGGGAGGTGAGCTGAAAGGCACATGTTGTCTTTTTCGTGAGAATTGAACGCGGCTCTCACACTGGGAGAGATGCGGGGCTTCAGGCAACGGCCCTTGAGTATCACAGAGGCAGAAACGAGATACTGACATGGGGCTGGTTTGGGAAAATCTATCAAGGCAGATGGTCTATCATTATCCAGAAGTGAAGCCACCCTCTCAAAGGCCGTATCCTGTGGAGTCATTTGTACTCAGTCCACTGATGCCTCTGCTCTCCTCCCGACCACTTGCTCGGGAGGCCTTGAGATTCTGGGCTCTTCCCTCTCCTTATCTGCCTGCAAGAGGGGTGGGGAGGGATGGCGGAAGGAAGGCCAGGGAGGGAGGCAACTTTCTCCAGGATTGCGGAGGTGGGCACCTTCCACACACGTCCCTCTCGTGCACACGCTCTGCCTCGGGCGCCACTGTCTTCCCCTGGAGCCTCCCCTCTCCTCCTTCGTCTCCGCTCTCCCCCCCAGTGGGTCGTCCCTCTGGGCAGATGTGACAGGCAGGTGCCCCATGGACCGCAGTCAGTCCACACACTTGCTCTTTGGTTTCACCCTTGGTGTTTCAAAGGCCTCACATTAGCGGCCATGTCAAAAAATTCAGATCTCCTATCTCTCTTTTAAAAATTCCGATTTGCAGCCTTTCTGAAAATGAGAAATTCTGACAATTTGGGGCTCCATTTGCACAGGTGGATAGTCAATTACATCACACGTGACAGTCAGGTGGAGCTGGTGGCAGCTCCCCCTTCAAGGTGCTCCTGCCCTGCTGTGCCCCACGGTGTGTGCCTCTGCCCTGGCCTCTCTCCCTAGTTCCAGGTCCCCCCTGTCACTCACCACAGGCGGCCTTCAATGGGGATACTTGGCCCTTCACCTCTCGCCCCGGACCCCACCGCCCCCACCACCCCCCACGCGGTCTGCTCCTATTCATCCCCCAGGCATGACCGCCTGCGATGCCCCTTGACCTTCTGCAAGCACCATCTGCCCTCGGTGACTGCTGGGTTTCCCAAGTGGACTCTGTGCTTTTCCCTTTGTGTTTTTGATTAAACAAATCCCTGAGTCAGAAACGCCTTCTCTTCCCCTGTGTGCTTGTCTACACTGTAGCTCTTCACAAGATTCTGGTTTAGATCCACACCTTCTAAGGAGCTGCCCTCCTCCGCCGGAGTCCCACAGCCTCGCTCTCCCCTAGGCTCTGGCCGCACTGTCTGGTGGCCCTCCCACAGCTTTGCCACGTGTTCCTTTAAGTGCATTTGTCTCTAAAGCATGGCCCCTTCCTCATGGTCTAGACCTGTATTGTCCAACACAGTAACCATAGTCACAGGTACTTATTTAAGTTTTAGTGTACATTAATTGAAATTAAAATGTAAACATTGGTTTCTTAGTCAGACTAGCCACAGTTCCAGTGCTCAGTGACCACATGCGGCTAGTGGCTACTGCATTGGCAGGACAGATACAGAATATTGCCGTCATCACAGACAATTCTGTTGGGCAACACTGGCCTTGACTGTAAATTTCTTGAGAACAGAGACTGTGATCAGATGCATGTCTGTATCCCCACCGCCTAGCACAATTTGAGCACTCCTAAAAATGCGAATTATATGCTTTTTGGCAGGTGGGTAAGAATAAATTGGACATGACGCTAAGATTTCACACTTGAGGGATAGAAAACAGTAGCTTGAAATGGGAAATTATTGGAAAGGAGGGAGAGGATTGAAACTGTGGGTGTCACATGGAGAATGTAATTGTTTCTAGTTAAAAATAGGAAAGTAGGGGAAAAAAAGAACATATGGAGTCAATTTCTTTCATTTTTGTCTCCCATTCTCTTCAACCCACCCTATTTTTATGACTTCTGGGCTGCCCTATTATCTTCTCTGGAAGCAAGTAATGAGTTTCCAACTCTGTCTAATGCACATGCACGCACACACACGCACACACACACCAGCTTTCCTATAGTCCCTAATTCTCCCAGAGATACTTGTAAATTTTCTTACAAGGGAAAGATGGAATGCGGGCTGTTTCCGTCTCAGCGGCTCTTCTTGCTGGTAGGGAGTGTTTTGTAGGTCTCTATTTATAAACCAAGTTGATAATACAGTGGCTTATTCAATTTTTAAGGTTTATTTGGGGGATAAATGTGTTTCAAGCTCATGCTGTTTTCATTCAGGTTTTTGTTACATGGCAATAAGTATTTAATTATGGTAGTTGTATTAAGCATTTCTAGCCACAATACACAAACAACTCCAAGAAAAAAAAACGGACAATTTAAAATCCCACAATTTAACGGAAATTGGAAAATCCATGTAAATGAATGAAGAGCGTCACTCTTCTGTGAGGGTTTCCAGAGTTCAGTGCCGACCCAGGCAACAGCAGTGCAATCAGAAGCAAGGGGATGCCCCTGAATTCAGGTAAGCCTCGTCTTCTTACAAGTGCTGCCATAAGCTTCTCTTCCTCTAGTTTTCTGAAAGGGTAAAACGTGACTCCAAGGGCCTCATCTTTAAAGGGACTGAAGTTGCACATAGGCCTTCCTTGCTGTTTTCCAGCGTGCACAGTTTCGTCTCCGTGCGCGTGTGCAGTGACTCACTTGCATATGGCAGGTTCCTCCCGCCAGGACTGTGGAGTTACCTGTCTTGAATTCTGGAGAACTTCAGAGTAGCCATCCTGTCTTCAGTGTGGTTTTAAAAGTCTACTTCCAGAGCATCTGGACAGGGCACTGAAAACAGATTTATGTACCATTCCTTTTTAAGAAAAGATTACGCTGGAACCCTACCAACCTTGGTGTGATTCAAACTGATACTAAGTTTAGTTAAAGAACTGTGTGTGAGTGTTGAATGCTGGGAGTGTAAACAAGTAGGCGGAGCCTCCCTCCTGAGCTGGGCTGCTGAGATTATACAACTGGTTTGCCCCTGAGTGGCCCCCACGTACTGGGGAGTGGAGGCTCCAGGGAAGGCCCCTGGTTGACATGAGCTCAGGTGATACAATGTAAATTTCTCATTTCCACTTTCCATTTGTTACCTTTCCTTTCCTGAGTACATTCCCAAGGAAGACCAGGTGAGGTGTTGGCCCACAGGAGAGGTGACCCAGGCCTCAGGGGAGTAGCAGGCCCTGTTCTCTTTGAGCCCACCTTTCACCCCTCTGCCGACCACATATTTGCTTTGTAATAATGCTTGTCCACGGAGACAGTCGAGGGTGCCAGTGAATGAGCCCTAATGCCGGCCTGGGTATGGCTGCTCCTCCTTCCCCGCCTCAACCCCAGGATGTCGCCGGTGGAGCCGAACGAGGCAGGTGCCCTCGCTGATCCGCTCCTTCCAGGCTCCGAGGAGGAAGGGATTACGGCCGGCTCATTCCTAACATATTCCCAGAGCTTAACACATAACAGGTGCTCAAAAAATATCTGTGCAGAGATGAAAGGATGGGAAGCAGAGACAGAGGCGGGCAGCAAGCAGTGTTTGGCAGCTCCATGCACAGGCTGCTGCCTGGCAGGGTGCTCAATTCCCTTTCGTTGTCTCATGTTTTCATAGTGATACAGCCTCTGACCCTTGGTGTTTCAAAGGCCTCACATTAGCGGCCATGTCAAAAAATTCAGATCTCCTATCTCTCTTTTAAAAATTCCGATTTGCAGCCTTTCTGAAAAATGAGAAATTCTGACAATTTGGGGCTCCATTTGCACAGGTGGATAGTCAATTACATCACACGTGACAGTCAGGTGGAGCTGGTGGCAGCTCCCCCTTCTAGGTGCTCCTGCCCTGCTGTGCCCCACGGTGTGTGCCTCTGCCCTGGCCTCTCTCCCTAGTTCCAGGTCCCCCCTGTCACTCACCACAGGCGGCCTTCAATGGGGATACTTGGCCCTTCACCTCTCGCCCCGGACCCCACCGCCCCCACCACCCCCCACGCGGTCTGCTCCTATTCATCCCCCAGGCATGACCGCCTGCGATGCCCCTTGACCTTCTGCAAGCACCATCTGCCCTCGGTGACTGCTGGGTTTCCCAAGTGGACTCTGTGCTTTTCCCTTTGTGTTTTTGATTAAACAAATCCCTGAGTCAGAAACGCCTTCTCTTCCCCTGTGTGCTTGTCTACACTGTAGCTCTTCACAAGATTCTGGTTTAGATCCACACCTTCTAAGGAGCTGCCCTCCTCCGCCGGAGTCCCACAGCCTCGCTCTCCCCTAGGCTCTGGCCGCACTGTCTGGTGGCCCTCCCACAGCTTTGCCACGTGTTCCTTTAAGTGCATTTGTCTCTAAAGCATGGCCCCTTCCTCATGGTCTAGACCTGTATTGTCCAACACAGTAACCATAGTCACAGGTACTTATTTAAGTTTTAGTGTACATTAATTGAAATTAAAATGTAAACATTGGTTTCTTAGTCAGACTAGCCACAGTTCCAGTGCTCAGTGACCACATGCGGCTAGTGGCTACTGCATTGGCAGGACAGATACAGAATATTGCCGTCATCACAGACAATTCTGTTGGGCAACACTGGCCTTGACTGTAAATTTCTTGAGAACAGAGACTGTGATCAGATGCATGTCTGTATCCCCACCGCCTAGCACAATTCGAGCACTCCTAAAAATGCGAATTATATGCTTTTTGGCAGGTGGGTAAGAATAAATTGGACATGACGCTAAGATTTCACACTTGAGGGATAGAAAACAGTAGCTTGAAATGGGAAATTATTGGAAAGGAGGGAGAGGATTGAAACTGTGGGTGTCACATGGAGAATGTAATTGTTTCTAGTTAAAAATAGGAAAGTAGGGGAAAAAAAGAACATATGGAGTCAATTTCTTTCATTTTTGTCTCCCATTCTCTTCAACCCACCCTATTTTTATGACTTCTGGGCTGCCCTATTATCTTCTCTGGAAGCAAGTAATGAGTTTCCAACTCTGTCTAATGCACTTGCACGCACACACACGCACACACACACCAGCTTTCCTATAGTCCCTAATTCTCCCAGAGATACTTGTAAATTTTCTTACAAGGGAAAGATGGAATGCGGGCTGTT